AAATTTTCAAGTCAACAGATTATATTCGCTTTACAAGAGACCGTATACTATATCGTCCCTATTTTCACGAAGTGACGGTAGTGAGGAAAATCGTAACGCAAAGTGAATGCAATTTTTTTTCACTACCGTCACTTCGTGAAAACGGGGACAAATTATGACCAAGCAGTATATGATAAAGATTGTACGAAATTATAAATAAATCCCCATCAATCTAAGAACAATATTTCAATCACTTCCCATTTTCTGTCTAGCATACTGTCAAGTGTGAAAATTACACATTCCTTGAGTCAAAGCTAACTAAACCTTACAGATGTAATTAATCATATCTGATTGATACATGTCTGTAAAAACCCAATTACGCACACACACACACACACACACGTTGGGTTTGAACCAGATAAGAAAGGAAGTTGTCTATTTTCTGAGAAACTGAACTGTCTTGACTGCCAAGAGGAATGCGTGGGATGGTACCTGTTGTTGACATTGCCAATACATACATGCCATGGGTAAATACAACCCTAATCAAGAACCATATCACCAGCATGCACAGAAGAAATGTTGAATGAAAAAAAAAGGAAAGTAAATAAGGCTCGTCTTCCGCTTTCTGAGGAAAAGGGAAGGACACATTCTTTATTTGAATGGAGTCACATCCATGTTCTATTGTCTAATACAAGCTATGATGACATATTGACATTCTCCAAGTGTCACCTTCACATTCACAAAAAGGGCTGTTCAGGTATATCATAAAGGGCATGCTTGATTGATGCAGGATTTGGAATACGAGAACATTACATATTAATGGCAAATTGCTTGCCAAGGTATCTTGTATACATATTTTATATTTCTTAATCAATATCATTGCATAATTTACATGACATTGGTATGCTCTTCTTGACACTTGTTTCATACCCAAGATGGTTAAATCTCCTAATAGATAGAGCGATACACTAATAATTGTAAATACGGTAATGGTAACACACAATTATTGCTATACTGAAGTTTATGTCTGTGCCCAACTGCCCATATTACAAATGTACCAAGAGACTCAATTTTTTGTTTGAAAACAAAAATATGTTTCTCAAGGTGTGAAACTATACCACTGAAAATCAACACAATTAACCATATGAACACACATGACTTTCTCACATACTAACACAGTCAAACCACATATTCTTTACAACTGTGTTCATTTCTTTGAAGATCTGGAACTTTCTCCCATGAATGGACGACTTCTACGTGACCAGACAGAGTTCCAATGAAAGAGCGATTGTGCAAAAGTTGTCTGTGAAAACAAACTACTAAAGCAAACCTTATTCAAGTTCAGGGATAACTATGTTGTTCTACTACCGTAGGGTAGTTTGTATGTCTTTGGTGACTCAGATATAACCAAATATGAAAAGGCTCTCACAATGTGAACGTATTGGTCCGCCCCTATTTATCTAATTTCATTCGAAACTTTGTGTAAAAAAGCATTTTCCAGATTTCATTACCAAATACATTTACATGTACATCACTTATAATATTAGATTAGCTTTGAACATGAACGATTTCAATCACCATAAATAACATAATTAAATAATCATTGCATTTCAACATAATGGTCATTTGCTGGAGGCTAAAAGATCATTTTACATAATAATTTGCTTAATTACCCTTGTAGCTCAAAGTACAAAAGTATACTATATAGCTAAAAACAAATACTTTCATGTAGGCCTATGTACACCATTATACAAAAAAACAAAGGTTATCAATATTACTGTTAGCATACCATTTTCTGCCAAAGCCAATCCTGAGAAAATTGTAAATTTGAAGATGATCCCAACAAACAGCTTTAACCCTCACCAAAGGATGATCATTTAAAAATGAATATCGCGGCCAAATAGCAATATGGGCCTCCGTGACTGTAGTCAGTAACACCATGTGACATGGTCAGTTACCTCACATGATGTCTAGTCACAAACCACACAATATCCTTTGACCGACCAGTAGTGGACATCGGGAATGTCCGCATCTCAAACCAAATCAAAGGGACCGACCGTCTGGGAACCTTATGGAATACTCTGTGCTTGAATCCACACCCTTAGGTAATATTTGACCATTCAATGACCACTGTAAAACCATCTATTATTCATATCATGAATGAGGTTTGGTCAATGAATGACCAGTGGACAATAAACTTGACCAGTGGAAGTGAGTGGACAATACACAAGCCCTGTGGGTTTCAATAACAAGTGGGCAAGCAAACAGGATATAATTAAACGATTCCTTTGGATCTTTCGTCATCAGGTGCTAACAAGGCGGGAAGGGGTTTCACCCATGTTGGCTTCAGAGCAGAGCTTCAAGTTCAATGCTGATCTAAAATCAATATATAGATCACTGTGCAAAATAATGCTTTACAGATATTGATGAGATGATATTCTAAAATCAATACATAAATCACTGTGCAAAATAATGCTTTACAGATATTCATCAGATGGTATTCTGCAGGGGACTGCATATGATGCCAATTTTCCTACAGATCTTAGACATAAGTTCCTCAGAGTTCCTGTCATGACAAAGTGTCTACACCATGCATGAAAATAACATTTTTAATATGTTTTGCATTGAACTCTTTGCACATTTTGGGGGCTCTTTTTTTACTTTCGGGGGCTCTTTTTGGCATTTAGGGGGCTACTTCGCCCTAGCCCTCGTGTATTTTTTCCCTGATCACTTGTTCAGAGCCAGAAGGATGCTGACTCACAGGGTTAACCATCCTTCTGGCTTTGAATGGATGATTTAGATGGACATACAACTCTTTAACACTTCCTGCAGGTTCATCTGGTTTACAGGGAAAGGATGTGATCTTGGCAAGAATACTAATTAAAAGACTTGCACTTTGCAGGGCTGGTTACACATCTAATAAAATCAAGTCCTAGATAATAAAAAGGATGTCTTTTGGCTTAATAACAACATAATCGTGTTCTTCCTGATATTACAATAACCTCAGTTGATGGAAGGATAGATTGAAAAAGTGAAAGATGAGAATACAAAGAACGGAGAGAGAGAGAGGAGGAGGAGGAATGTTTACAATCTCATTGGGATTTCAAATCTTTTTGTCAGGGATTTACACATTTTACGACTCCCTTTCATTAATCTCATTATTTATCAACTAAACAGAGCTTCATGTACCATTCAATCCAAACCTATGCTAACATAACTGAAGTCTGATCTCGTTAATGAAGGCTATCTTATAATCTTATCATTTCTTAAGGACCTTTTAGAAGAAGATATTGAATCAGCCCCTTTCCTTTCAATTCACATGGATCAGCCTATTTGGTAACAGGGGTCTACATTACATAATAGAGCAAGTAATATTACCCCATGAATATACAGGATCTTGAATGTTATCAATGAGGGCATTGTGATGCAGCATTGCAAACAAGATAACACATACATCAAAGGGCTTCACCATAAGGATCACAAATTTTCGAAAGGGATCCTGCCTGCCACAGATGCTATGATTCAACTGAAGTTATATGCAGGGACAGGGTGATAAATCATGTTCTGTTTCCCTCAAAGCTTAAATCAAATTAATGTCATAAGGACGCAGAGGGGGTGGGGGGGGGGGGGGGCTGCTCAACCTGATTTTTGCTCAAGGAATCTTGAAAGGGGTAGGGTCTGCACAGTCTGCTTTCTGCTCAAGGTAATTATTAAATGGAGTAGCCCCAAAGTGCTCCATCTTGAGAATACATTTTGTTTGTTGAAGAAAATGTGAAAGAGCCCAACAGAGAAATATAAAATATATGGGGGTTGCCCCCCCCCCCCCCTCTATTAAAACAAGCAACCTCTCTCTCTGCTGACCAGTGTGGGTATCTGTTTGAACATCAGGCATAATAGTGTAGTCCAAACAAGGTTTGTTTTATAAGGACCATGATAGCATGAATACACATCATAAAACATGTTCACCAACAAACAAATCAACTGACAAAAGGCTGCTTCTGAAGGTACCTACAATTTAGCGGCTAAAAATAGACACATAATGGAGGACCAGTTCAAGTAATTATCACTGCATAATCTAATCAAGAACAGCAGCAAGCACTATAAACCCTAGGTCCTAATTACATTAGATAAACAATAGGCAATATTAAAATACCTCCCCCCCCCCCCCTAAAAAAAAAGTTTAAAAAAAAAATGTTGGGAGCAATATACAGTCATTTTACTCTGTACAGAGGTAAATATCCATCAATCAATTATCCTTTATTTCAGCTTCTCTTGGACTTAGTGCTAATTGCTAAAGATGATTTTTCATTGCATTGAGTGTTCAAGATTATTCGAGATGGCAAAGAATGCTGTTTCAAAAGAATATCCTAATATTTGTTCAAACCTTTCTGATCAGAGAACATCTAGGGTCTCCATAAATTACAGTAGTGTCTTGCATGAAAACGATTCCTGGGCTGAGAGGAGTCCAGTTCAGTTTTTCCCAGCAAAAAACATCTGACCATGGACAAGACAAACACACCCCCATATACATAAATAAAAGTGAAAATCTAAAGATAGATGCAAAACGGGTAGGCCTATATTATTTTACAAGAGGAAGACCTACTTCTGCTTTCTCCCATCAACACCAGAATAATTAAAGTTAACTATTTATAGGCATAGTCTGATAATACACAAAGCAGTCCTTGTAGAAAAGAATACAATTAACTACGCAAAGAGACCTTACTACAGTGTAGTACTGTAATTTTCTTCCGTTATACAAGACGTTCTTAGTCACGTTTGTAATCACACCCTCAACTGGACAGACATTGTATGTTTTCTTTTACTTTAGTGTCGTATAGGGTTTCCCCTGCAAAACACTAGAAGTGAAACCTAAATACTACTGGTAATGAGAAATTACACCATGTTATAGCATAAACTATCATTTGAAACTTTAATATCATGATTATCATCATAATATAAATGGGATATTTATTGCCTTTTTAAGTCACAAAAAGATAAATAAGATGAACATGCTTTTTTACCTTTGAGGACAACCCGCCAAAAAACTCATCTTTGGCATGAAGCATAGTTGGAAGATATTCACGCATATCTAGCTGATCAAGAGCAGTCAATATCCCACAGATTTCACCAGATCAAACTACTCAAATCATTCACAATCACTAGGTGATTGCATCCTCATCAGTTAGGGTTCAAGTTTTCTATTTCAGAATTGACTCTGTCCAGGAAAGAGTTGAAAGTTGAGCACTCAGCACTGTCCGGCAAAGGAGTTATTACAGAAGAATGTTCTATAGGAGTTGTCAGATTCTCATCAGTTTGAGGGGAGTCCATCCAAACATTCAAATTACAAATCAGAAAGTCCAAACTTCACAGGTTAAAATGTTGAGTAGTCAATATTTCATATGCAAGTTTTACAGATTTAAGAAATGATCCAAAATAGAACACATTCCGCTAAGAAATCTGTTGAACAAGTCACCCGCAGAGTCTGTGGCATCTTCAGTTCGCACCATTCAAGTCTTGATCTATCCAAGAGCCTAGTGGATGTTTCTACCCACTATGTTTTCAAGAAATCATGATTCCATTTCCAGTAGCTGAGAAAATTTCTGTTTTCTGTTTTGGTCTGATTATGTAGAGGGACATGCTCCAGTGGATCCTTCCAAGCAAAGTGTTATTATGAACCACTCATCCATGCCACTTTCGTAGATAGATGCACTATTCAACTGAATGGTAGATCCTATACTACATTGACTCCTTTCAACCATGTGCTACTGCCCATTTAACTCCATCAGCATAACAGTAGCTGGATGGGTCCATTCTACAAATAGAGGTGTTGCAATAACTGCATGACTACTCAAGCCATGTTCTTTATTTTAATATTGAATTTATCGAATCGAAGGAATCAACCTCTGTTGTGAAAAGTCTATTGACACAACTTTTTTGACATTGTAATCAATAAGATACTACACATCGATATCAATGGCAAATAAAATAAATGGATGGGTTGCGATTATGAAAGGTCTTGAAAGAGGAACTGCAGAAGAAAATTTTCCCAAAAAATTCTGAATTGAGATTTACGTCATTCCTCATTCATTCCATGAATATGAAAACAAATATAGCTCGAAATTAATGCTCTATTTGCTTAATAAACAATTTCAGTGTCATATTGATTAGTTTCATCCTTGATTTTACCAACCTTATTCATCCCTTCTTTCACAACCTACTATTTACAACAATCTTGATTATCAATTTACAGCTGACGATTCTATATTTTGGCAATCAGACGCTATGCACCCCTTTTCTCAGAGTCAACTCTTCCACACTATTGCTCACCTGAGTACAAAAGATGAGTACAAACTCCAGCCACTCCATCTCAGAATGTAGTCTCATTATTCAGCTACACTTCATCATTTCTCCAACTTTCACACAACTTTCAAAAGATAGAAAATAATTTTTCTTCAACCTCTCCTATGCTGCTGCTGATATGTCTAAGCTTTCAATCTGATGAATGAAGCTATTCAGTTGACATTGGAAATAAAATTATTCTATCGAACAAACCAGAATATCATGCTTATGACAAGTCTGTTTTGAAGACTAGCCACAGTCCATTCATTGTAAGTCTCCATTGTTATCTGCGGTTGACGTCACATCTAACTACAATAGTACAGTTTCGCTGCTGAAAAGGGTCCTATAATGATGCAATTGTAAAGGGGGTAACTCTGGCCTTCAAATCAAAAGACATAATGTTTGAGAATACTCTTCACTATTTATTTTCTTTTGATATGGAGACAATGATACAATGAAATCAGGGAGTGGAGAGGAAATGAAATGATCAAAGATGAATCTACTGATCTAAATTTTGGACAGAATCAATCAAATTTAATGTATCCTTCAAAGAATTTGACAGAAATAATTCTTTGACTCTGGCAATGATATAAAAAAAAAAAGTTTAATTAAAACAATAATACAAAAAGTTTAAGAACTTCTCGAAAGAATTTAATATAAATTTATCTACACATCATGGACATGCTGAATGAATTGTCCTGTCCTGTCCTGATTGATAACTAATCTGACATATTTGTTGGATATTCTCTGTTTCTTTTAAGAGAATAATCAAAATAAATAAGTTTATTATTGTTCACAGGATATACATGTAAGCCTGTCAGCCCCAACATGAGCACGTACCATATTTGTTTTTGTTTTTTTGTATGTTGTAGAAAGCAGTTTTCTTAAAATTTTAAATCTATTTGGAATGTCAAAATCAATAGGTTTACTTCCTTCTCTGAATCATGAGGGTCCATATTCTTGGAATAGTTAAAGATGCAGTGAGTTAGAAAATAGAAGATTAAGAAAGAAAGGGAGAGAGGAAGAGAGAGAGAGAGAGCACAATGTGAGAAATAGGAAGTACAATGACACATAATGAGATAAGACACACCTGTGACCTTCTTATACTATCCTCTTAAGCTTTACTAAAGAAAAAAAAGTTTAAAAACTTGACATTCATCTCGATCATTCAAGCCACTTACAAACACGCCTTTCCTTTCCGTTTCTCGGAATACGGAAATTGATCTCCGAACGCAAACAAGTGTCCGTCAAATGACCCCAGGTTCGTCACCATGGCTCGCTAAAAGTTGGAGGTGGGAATGTCTTTTGAGGTGTGACAAGAACCGTTTGGTACCAATCAATAATGCTTGAGACTTCATACTTTGGTTAAAGGGCAACTATCGTCAATTGAAATTATGCTCCGTATGAATTTTTTAAGGGTTTTATATCAGTATACTACATACAAAATATCCTTTTATAATACCACTTCTGTAAAGAGATAATGCAAGTTTGAATACTAAAATTTCCAAGGTATATCAGTCAATACACTTGTATGAGAACACCAGTGCATAGTGCATAATCGGTTGATTTCAAATTGACTGATGTGTAATATTTATTATATGAAATTATTTTCCCCTCATACCCTTTAATCCTTAGAAATATACATCTCTCACAACAGTTTTGGGGATGATTCAATGTCTTATAATAGCATGTATCAATCATGTTCTGATTTGTTTTTTTTATGGGAGGAAGGGGGGGGGGCAGGGAAGGGCAATTGAAGCCCTTTAAGTTTAGGAAGGCCTGTGTTATCATAACTTTTCTTTGAACGTATTCTTCTCATTGATGGAGGGAGGACAGAAAGGTCATTGAATTAGCCTTTTCACAGTCATTTTCTGCCTGATTGAGATTCTAAAGGATTTGGCTTTTCCACCGAACCTCTTCCACCCTTGTCAACTTTCATGGTCAGGAGTATAGCCCACTTTGGATGAACTAATTGATTTTAGTCAGAATGAAATGAATGCAGTGGGGAAAAAACACAGAAAACTTTGCCAGTAATGACTTTTCTAAGAAGGTTGCCTTGTTGTAGTACCATGTAAACACTTCAGAATGTTTAAATAATTAACTGATAGGAAGGAAAACAAATTTTAAACAAAAGGGAAATTTGTTTTCCAACTGCAGCATCACTTTAATATGATTTGATGTAGCACAAATTCCTAAAATCTAATTTCAATTGAAAATAAATAGTTTTCAGTTTTCAATCTGCACTTTATAATATAATTCAGCTCTAGAAAGCTATCAATTTGAAGAAAAAAATCCACACAGACAATTAGATAATTGTATACTACTGAAGATATTCACCATTTCCAAGCGAAAGTTATGTTTTTTGGTTATCATTTAATGATTAACCTAAATAAGGTGAAAACAAAATTGTATTTTAGTGCCATATCAGAGTTCAAGGAAGGAAAATTGTATCAATAGCCTATATTTCAGTTAGATTTTGTTTTGCTGTATCAATCATGTGAAACTTCATGAATTCATTTCATATCAGTACATTTACGTTGCGTAATCTACATCCCAAATAAAACATTGAAATTGTGATAAATGGTGAGTAATTTTGGCAGGAACGGGACAATGGGAAGTGGATATAAAGTATGGAGGTCATGAAGTCCAGTATAATCCAAGTCCTTTATAATGTCTGGTGCAGCTACGCAAACTGACCTAAAGCCATAGGATGACCTATACTTGTCGCAGAGTTGATCCACAAATTGACTCAGGATCACATACAAACACAAGTAGACCTGTAACTCATCAAATAGAATTATTCTGTTTTACGAAAATCTGTAAAGAATGCAGAATTAGACAAGACCTCACTATTGCCTAAAAGTGCTCACACATTACTACACAGGAGTTTGTCTGTGAAAGTATATGCTCCAAACAGAAAAATTTGCTGAATAGCCTGCTTGTCTTACTTTCTTAAGTCATTGAAATTAAATGCTAAAGATTAGTGAATAAGGAGGGAGGGGGGGGGGGGGGGGCAGTGATAAAAAAACACATTGTACTTGAAGAAAAGAGTGACATAGAGACAGGTGCCGGTATTGGACCTACTACCGATGAGAAAGCATTTTATAAAGTGAGATTTGTTGAATCAAGAGTTTGTCTTGTGTAAACTGGAAAGCATCTTGAGAGAAGAAAGGATGTGGAAAGGACTTCAAGATCTATTCTCATTACAATGAGTGTATAAACATTTGGATTTCAGATTGGTTGGATTTTACTGGGATTCTGGTGAGAATTAATGGTTTTAGTATTGACAAATCTTTTTAACATCATTCAAACTGATCAACTTTCACCTGGTACACTTTTTTCTTCTTCAATTAGGATTGAATAAATTGTCCGTTTGGAACCAGAAGGGCATGAACTATGTGGAAATTAATATGAATTAACATCCTCCTACCTCCAATCAGATGAAATGCATTCATACTTTAGTTGATCATAATACACACATTCATGATGTATATTACCATGAAAGTTGCAGAATAGAAAGTTTTTTTTCTTCTCCAATCAGCCAAAATTGCCCGGATCTCTGAATGAAGTTATTTAATGCTTGTTTATCAAGTGTCCAAGAGCTTTCAATAACAAACAATTTGTGGTTACAGTTATATTCATATTTATGACCATTGTCGCTCTAAATGACCAATATGATGTCCTTCTTTTTTGCTGGTAAAAAAAATGCAGTCAATTAACACTTACAATCCTTTTATAATCCATGATTATGGGGTTCAGTGACATACCTTTGCCCCATTAAACATTCAGAAAGCTTAGCAGGGCAACCGTTTTTTTTTTTTCTTTCTGTTTTGGAACCCAGGAACAAGTGATTTTTGACCTTCTTATATCGATATGCCCTGATAAATGGATAAGTGTGTTTAATCCAATAATATGACGGCAAACAACAGGATTTAATACCAAAGGCTGGTTGGCTTCTGGCATTGCTAACCATGCTTTTATGTTTCATCTGTAATATGAGCATTTTGGGTTAATGGCTTTAGCAATCCCGTCTGGCACAATGAAATTCACTCCAAAAAATTTCTATACAGGTTCGAATCAGTTACACTGAAATAATCTCAATAAAAGAAAGGATCAAGAGTACAAAATTGTGATGTACTGTAGTCAATATTAGAGAAATAAATGTGCGAGGCAATGTAATTGCATAGGCTGGTGGATTGCAAAGAAAGAGAGTTTAAGTGAATTGAAAGGACTTCTTTGACTAGTTTTTCAGTATTAAAGACAATGACTTGTTCAAGTTTATAATTTAAAAATCCAGATCATTTATTCATGAATGATGAAGCTTCTGCATTTCATATTTTGTCACTAACTTCCATAATTTCTATTATTTTCAAAGTCCTTTTGGGACATCACACATTTTGAGTCCAGATGGGGTAGTCATAAAAAATGGAAAAAGCTTGGACAAATATTTGGAATGAGCAGGAGGGAAAACTAACACCTTTTATCATTTAGCAAATATGTACATCCTTCAATAT